CGCAAGAAAACGTCCACACTGCCATGTGCACGCTGTGCTTTGGACGCTCTCTTGCGCCAGAAATCCCTGCCGAGCGTCCACAAAGTTACAAAATTCAAAACTGACCAGGATATGTACACTGGCGGCTTCTTGCGCAAGAAAACGTCCACACTGCCATGTGCACGCTGTGCTTTGGACGCTCTCTTGCGCCAGAAATCCCTGCCGAGCGTCCACAAAGTTACAAAATTCAAAACTGACCAGGATATTTTCCCTTCAGTCTTCTCCTCTGCTTTTTGTTCAGACTCTCCTCCACCCTCCCCTCCCCAAAAAAAGAAATTCCAAGCTGGGCTGAGGGATGGCCTGGGAAATGTCAGGATGGTTAGCTTCCAGAAGAGTCTGTAAGTCACATTCTATGGGAAGCCAGTTGCACATTTCACTATGGAGCAGCTAATGATGCTCCAAATACTTTACAACATTTCATCACAGTGGAGCAGAGCAAACTCCATGGGCCTTTTCGCTGATTGGTCCCTGCAGCACTTCACATGTAGGCGTCAAGTTCCTCTTCTGCCAGAGCACATGCACTCACATGTATGTACGGGGGTGGGGTGTCTGTGGGAGCTCTCAGACTCAGGAGTATACTCTGCAGTCACTGTCCATGTGGCTGGCACTAAAGAGAAATGGATCCCAGGAAAATCAGCTGTCTCATGGCTTCAATGTTAACAAAGGCCAGGTAGGGGTGGGCTGGATGCCTCTGGTGTAGCAACAAAAACGGCTTGTGTCGCTGCACCTAGGCAGAGTGGATGCAGTACACTCAGGCTCCAGCCTAGGGATGTTAAATATCGAACAATTGACTAATTGAATAGTTGAAGCATTTTGCATCAACTATTCGATTAGTTGCTAGGGCATCTCGCCCTTTGTAGCCACAGCCCTACACTTCAAAGGCAAAAGTGCTGTGTGGAGCCCGGGGTCAGCTGAGCCTGGGCTCCATGAGGCGATGCCACTTTGAAACACCATGGGGAGCCCAGCGTCAGGCTCCTCGCAGCTTTTCAAAGCAGCAGTGCCCTGTGGAGCCCGAAATCTGCTGGGGACTCCCCTGCTGACCCTGGGCTCTGTGCGGCGCTGCC